CGGGGGGGGGGGGGGGGGACCGGGACCTAAAAAGTCACCCGCCTGCGGGCATCCAGGGCCCCCCGGCTCCCCTGGGGAACCTCCAACTGCCCGAGTTTCTGATTTTGGAAATACTCAACGCCCTGGGCCTCTGGAACAAGTCCACACCCGCCCAGAAAGAAAGTTGCACAGTGGAGCCGCCTCCCGGGGCGTTGGCTACCCGCTGGCACAGCGCGTCCCGTTCGTCCCGCGGGGAGGAGGGTTCCGGGGTGCAGAAGGGTTCCCTGCACCCGCCCCCCACTGTGCGCCCCCGAGGCCCTCCCCGGGGTGGTGGGGGGGGGTCCCCGGACGCGCGTCCCCACGCCGGTCCCCCGGCCGGCCCGCGCCCCCTGCACCCCGCCCCATCCCCAGGCCCCCACAGATGGCTCACCCCGAGCGGGCACCAGCGTGCCGAGCAGGCCGACCAGCAGCAGCGCGACGGCGGCCCGGGGAGCCATGGTGCGGCCGGCGGGCGCCGCGCAGGAACCGTCCCGGGAGTGGCACGCGCGGGCGGCGGCGGCCGGAGTGCCCCTGGGGCGGGGCGCGCGGAGGGAGGGAGTGGGGGGGGAGGGAGGACAGGGAGGAGTGGGGGGAGGGAGCACGGAGAGGGCAGGGCCCGCGCTCTGGCCCCGCCCCGGTCTCGGCTCGCCCCTCCCGCGGCCCCCGGAGAGCACCCGGGGCGGGCGGGGCGCAGGGGAGGGACTAGCGGGGGAGGAGCGGTTACCTGGGGCGGTCCCGAAAGGAGCCAGCGACTGCCGTCCCCGCTCGGAAACTGGGGCCCCCGCCCCCCCCCCAACACCCCCAGGGCAGCCCTGAAGAGAAGCGAGGAGTCCCCCAGCGCCGTGCTCAGAAGGTGGGGACCCCCACCCGCTCCTAAAACCCCCAGTCCTGAGGAGAAGCGAGGGACCCCCCCCCACAACTCCGAGCTCGGACAGTGGGGTCCCCTCCATGTGTCCACAGACTCCTCCAGCCCCTCACTGGCCGCTCCCCCCGACGAACAGGAAGCAAACCATTACAAGTAGCGGGAGCCCCCTCTCTGCCCCTAATGGGACCCTGGGGCCACCTTGGGGGTGGGGGTGGGGAACAAAGTGAAATCCTCTCCTTTCCCGCGAGAGGTGGGTCCCTGTCCCCCCGGGCAGACCCCACTCCCATCCCGAAGTCCAGTCTGAACTGACACAGCCCGGAGCTCGGGGTGCAGGCTTTGGGGGCGCAGGGCAAGCCCCACTCCCCACTCTCAATGGGGACTCCCCCTGCAGGAGCCTCCGGAAGCCTCTCCCCAGCCCACGCGGTGGGGGGGGGGGGGGGGGGGGTTCCCCCGCCCCGGGGGGGGGGGGGGGGGGGGCGGCCCGCGCCCCGGGGGGGGGGGGACCCGCCCCCCCCCCCCCCCCCCCCGTGGGGAGGGGGGGGAGAGAGAGAGAGAGAGGCAGGAAACCCCTCCCCTTCCCCTCAGGAGGTGCTGGGGCCCTGATGGGTCCCTGTGCAGGTCACAGGCCAGCAGTGCTGGGGCTGGACCCCCGCCCAGACTATCTATCTATCTATCTATCTATCTATCTATATTTAATTGAGATGTTGGCTTAATATTCTGTCCGTGTGTATTCAGGATGCAGAACATCTTGTCCGCAGAAAAATCCCTGAGTCAGATGCCTGCTTTGGCCCTGCAAACCCTCCTACCGGCTGGCCAGGCTCCCACCCAGCACACCCTTCCCCTCAGGGGTCACCCGCCTAGCTGCTGCCACCTTCTGTCACCTCCGTGACTCAGACAGAGGGGTGCAGGGCAGAGGCATTGCGTTGCACCCCAGGCCCGCCCCCCCCCTTGGACAACTGCAGCAGGGAAGTTTTTCGACTTCTAGGCCGGCAGAAAGTCAAACGTCAGTTTGTGGATTCAGACGCATGGATTTCACGGAACCCTTTCTCATCAAAACAACAGTCATCTGCCTTGGGAGTCAATCTGGGTGGACTGCCCAGCAGATACCACGTGTGCCCCCAGCCCCCACTGACCTGCTCAAGGCATCTGTCTCTCCTCATTCCCCTCTCCCTGGCCACAGCCTTGGGGCCAGAGGAGGGTGTGGACCCTGGGCCGGGGCAAACAGTAGGCTCTTCCCGTGGAGCAAAGGGACGCTGGAGCTGGTGCAGCCCTTTTGGCACCTTGAGGTAAGTCAGTCTCAGAATAATGCGTGCATGAAAGAAACCACCTGCTTTGTACCAAAGTCAAAACCCAGAGACCCCTCCCCAACCCTGGGGAAGTTTCCAGTCCAGCCCTGTCATCTTCAAAAGAAAACCTCAGCCTGGCCAGTCCTTAACCTCTGTCACGGGCTGCGCGAGGACTCAAACTCTGTTGACACCACCCTGAATGTTCCAGAACATTCTGCAGGCAGGGAGCGCATTTTATCCCCAAGGGGCTAGGTCTCCATCACCCGTCACTTGCACCGAATGCCAGGCTTTGAGGATTGTTGTTTTATTTTATTTTTTTTCAATTTATGTTCATCCCCACGGGCATTTTGAAGACTTTTCTTTGTAATTCGTTAAGTTGGCTTTTGTTTTTTTTCAAGCGCTCCCTTCCTTGGCTCAAACTAAAAAATTTCCATCGCATTTTCCGGACACTCTGACATCAGGAAGCCCTGAGTTCCAGAATCAAAATTAAATGAATTGGAGAAGCATCCGGAGTTGTATCCAAACGCCAGGGAACACATCTTTGAAGGGCATAGGCTGAGACAGACAGACGGACGGGGGAGGGAGCTCGACTCAGAACAGGCTTCTTGGTCTGCATGCATTATACTGGTTCAGCCTGGGGACAGGATGGGGACAGTGTGAGCCTGTTTGCGTCCGTGTAACACACACACACACACACACACACACACACACACTAGCCCTTCTCCCACTTTCTAGGGACGATCCTTTGTTGACCACAGGGCTTTGTGTATTTACCTGGAAAAACTGGGGTGGGTGGTGAAGGTGACAGCTGCGCACGTACTCACGAAGGGGCGGAAGTCACCTTAAGGTGACAGGGTCCAGGTCCTGACTGATGGAGCTCACAAAGGCCAGCAGGGGTCAGTATTATCAATAGTCCGGCTCCTGCTGGTGTCCCGCCTGGGGAGTCCAAAGAGGCGTAAAAATCCTGCAGAAATTCCTTGGGAACGCGAGCCAGGTGAGTCTGGACTGTGGAAACGGCACACGGGGCTGACCGCCGGGTTTGCGGTCTCTGAGTCACTTGGGTTATCTCCTGCCCGGGTAGACGCTGGTTTTTCCATTCCTTGGTTCCCATAAAATCGTTAACCACTGAGGTTTTTGTAATTCTGTGTCGTTCTGACACCTGCAAGCAAGTGGTGCATGAAGGGTGCAGGGGCACAAAATAGTTGGGGGGCACCTAAACGGACGTGCCTTCTGTAAGAGAGACTCTGTCTTATCTTTCTTTCCCCGGAAGCGGGGTGGGGACCCCTACCACTGTCAACACCTCGACCTCTTCCGGTCCTTCTCTCCTTCTGAAGAATGATTTTGGGGAGTTCGGTTTCCAAGGAGGATACACATAAATGCACCAAGAACACCCCAAACCTGTGCACATTGCCTAGAAACGCTCTCTGGGCTGTCCAAACCTATAGTCGGGACGATTTCTTATAAGGCGAGGGATGTCTTTGTTATCTGTATTTGCTAACCTCTCTGCACTGCATCTGTATTAGTTTCTGTTTTTTCTTAATTTTTTTAATGTTTGTTTCTGAAAGAGAGAGAGAGAGAGAGAGAGATCAGGGGAGGAGCAGAGAGAGAGGGATACACAGAATCCAAAGCAGGCTCCAGGCTCCCAGCTGTCAGCACAGAGCCTGACTGGGATAGATGGGTGGGTGGATGGATGGATGAGTGGGTAGATGGATGGTGAATGAAAGATAGGTGGCTGGGATTGGCCAATGGATGGATGCATGGATGGGTATGTGAATGGATGGATGGATGCCTGGATGGATGAGACTGGGTGAATGCATGGATGCATGCATGGATAGATGGATGGATGGATGAATGGATGAATGGGTAGATGGATGGATGGATGGATACATGTGTGGATAGATGGATGGATGGGTGCATGGATGGTTGGATGGATGGATGGATGGATGGATAGATGGATGGATGGGTGAATGGGTCGATGGATGTGTGGATGGATTGATGGATGGATGGATGGATGGATGGGTAGATGGATGGACAGATAGAAGGATGGATAGATTGTGGATGGATGGATGATAGATGGATGGATGGGTGGATGGATGGATGGGTAGGTGGAAGGGAGGAAGGATGGATGGATGGATAGATAGATACATAGATAGACAGACATGATGGATGGATGGGGAGATGGATGGATGGATAGATAGATAGATAGATAGATAGATAGATATGATGGGTGGGTGGATGGGTGGATGGATGGATACAAAGATGGATAGATGCATAGATAGATAGATAGATATGATGGGTGGGTGGGTGGGTGGATGGGTGGATGGATGGATACCATCTATCTATAGATAGATAGATAGATAGATAGATATGATGGGTGGGATAGATAGATAGATAGATAGATAGATAGATAGATATGATGGGTGGACGCATGGATGGATGGATGGATGGATGGATGGATGGAAAGATGGATGGATGGATAGATAGACACATAGATAGAGACAGACATGATGGATGGATGGGTAGATGGATGGATAGATAGATAGATAAATAGATAGATATGATGGATGGATGGAAAGATGGATAGATAGATAGATAGATAGATAGATATGATGGATGGATGGATAGATAGATACATAGATAGACAGACATGATGGATGGATGGGTAGATGGATGGATAGATAGATAGATAGATAGATATAATGGATGGATGGATGGAAAGATGGATAGATAGATAGATAGATAGACAGATAGATATGATGGGTGGGTGGATAGATAGGTAGATATGATGGATGGATGGATGGATGTTTGAGTAGATAAGTCTGTGGGTGGGTAGACTGGTAGATGGATGGATGTTTGAGTTGCTACATGTTTGAGTGGATGGATGGATGGATGGATGGATGTTTGACACTGGCTGGAGAGCTGGGTGGGTTGGTGAATACATGGAGAGATGGATGGATGGATAGATAGATAGATAGATAGATACATAGATAGATAGACACATAGATAGATACATAGATACATAGATAACATAGATAGATATGATGAATGGATGGATGGATGGATGTTTGAGTGGATGCATGGATAGACACATAGAGAAAGGTACCTTTATGAAAAACACAGCTAAGACTTCCTGTCTGGGTCAAGAAAGGGAGAATTACATCCCCAGCCCTCTGTCATTTGAGTCAGATGGGCCCTCCTCCCAGTGTGCTGGAGTCCAGAGAAAATCCCAATGCAGACGAAGACTTGCCCTGGGCATTGAGTGCAGCTGCCTCTTCTGCACCATGACCTTTCCCAAATCCTCACACGGCCCTGGGTCTCCCCTCCCTCCTTTATCAACCAGCATCTCCAAAGCGTCTCCTTCACTGTGATGTGTGGTTCTCCAGCACCCAGCCAGGAAAACCAAGCTTGTTAGGGCCATGCTGGACACCCCAGAACTGGCTCAGCTTCCTCTGTTGGGGCTGTTTGTGGGAACCCCCACTCCACAAATTCCTTCCCTCGTCATTCTGTCTTCTCCTTCTTGCCCAGTGAGCCGCCTGGTCAGCAGCGGCCCTCCCTGACACAGGAGCCCTTGTCTGGGGCCTGCTGAGTTCGTGCTGTCTCCTGAGTGGGAGCCCAGCCGGGCACAGATGACTGCAGGGCATTCTTTCAAAAGTCCCTCGAATTCCTGGCCCTTTTCATCCTGTCTGCAAGCATATTCACGCATTCTCTCTGCCCCATGGCACACACCCCTTCTTGCCCTTATGATGGCCCTGGTGGGAAGGCTCTCTATCTGCCCACGGGGTAGCAGGAGACACGCCCCCCTCGACAGGACTGGTCAGGGTGTTCGGTGTGGCCTAGAAGCCAGATAATTGATGGTTGGGGCCACAGCCAGCTGATTCTTGGAGTGACTGGTGGGAAAGCTGAGGTTGACCCAAGTCAGGAAGGACAGGACAGTCGGGGACTGGATGCGATGGTCCTGCCCCAGTAGGTGGCATCTTCATGGCCTGGTTCTCCTGGAGCACTCTGGTTCTTCTCCCTTTCTTGGTGCGCAATGGGATGTATTTGCCCCCAGCTGGTCTCCAGGGCATCACCCCACACCACACTGAGAAAGACACTACATGGGGGCACCCGGGTGGCTCAGTTGGTTAAGCATCCAACTCTTGATGTGAACTCAGTTCTTGATCTCAGGGTTGTGAGTTCCAAGCCCATGTTGGGCTTTGTGCTGGGCATGAAACCTACTTAAAAAGGGAGATATGGAGATGGAGAGAGAGAGAGAGAGAGAGAGAGAGAGAGAGAGATGCTACATGGACCAAGAAGGAGACTCAGGAATTTTGGGCCTACGTGTGTTCTTTTCCCCAATGGTGGCCAACGTTGAAAGAAACATAATAAGACCAGTAGGGTTAATGGGCAGTAAGGACTTCCCTGCACAGGTGGTTGTAGAAATCAGGGCCCCGTTATTGGATTTGTCTCCTTTTCTGCCTTATAGTGTCACCCGTGATGATGCATCATCTGTTGACCTGATTGTAAAAGTGTGGTAACACGTAAATTGCTAACCATGGGGCCTTTCCCATTACGGTTTCCCGTTAAAGAAACCAGCCTTTCTTCAGGCTAACTGCAAACCCGGGGTACCTGTCTCCACCTGCCCGTCAAGTGCTTTGGGTTTGCACATTCGCGAGATCTTTAAATTCCGCAAGAAAAATACACTGTACCATCTGTTGATGGTCCGATGTTTTCAGTCCTCATAATACAAACAAAAAAAAAGGAAAGAAAGAAAGACCAAAAGAAAGAATGAGAAAGAAGAGAAAGAAAGAAAGAAAGAAAGAGAAAGGAAGGAAGGAAGGAAGGAAGGAAGGAAGGAAGGAAAGAGAAAGAAAGAAAGAAAGAAAGAAAGAAAGAAACGTAGGAAGGATGGAAGGAAGGAAGGGAGGAAGGAAGCCGTCCATGGCCAGTCTCGGCCTCAGCTGGGCTCTTGCTTTCCACCTGCTGGACATCAGTCCCCATCCGTCTGCCCGAGGATTTATTGGGGAAGTCGTGGGAGGTGGGGGGGAGGGTTCCTGACCCCACCAAACTTGACCGCCCTGACCTTCGTCCTGGCCAGCCGTGGCCTCCTGGACCGTGTTTAGGTCCTGACTTTCTGGAGGTTTCCAGACACGGGAGCCCGTCGGATTGGGGAGAGAGCCCTGAGGAATTCGAATCACTTCTCTCCGGGGCCGAGGGGTAAGGACGCATCCCGTGGCATCCAGCAGGGTGTGCAGGCTCCAGCTAGACGCGTAGACGGCTTTCCTTTGCCCCGCGACCCTTGTCTCCGCCTGTTTCAAAAAAGATACATTGCAAAGAAAGCGGAGTTCAGAGTATACGTTTGCTGCCCCCTGTAGAACGTTTCTCTCCTGTTGCCTTTTTCTTTAGCGCGTCTGTGCGTTTTGTTCTTTTAATTCTTCTTCTTCTTCTTTTTTTTTTTTTTTTTGCAAGACCTGCTCTCCGGGAGAACAGCACCTCCCTGTGTGTGGTTCAAGAGGCCGGGCTCAGG